TCAATGAATTGCCAGTGCGGGTCTGGGAAGTGGGATCGAGACGATAGTCGTCTCTGTGGATTCAAAGGCCTACAACGCCGCCCCCCCCCCCCCCGACCGCAGGAGCTCGCTTCCCGATCAGAGCCGCGACAAACACTACTGTGCAGCGAATGGATCATTCGTCAGGAACCGTGGGCAACTGGTTATTGCGGGACAGATCGGAAAGGACCCATGGTCCCATGGTGATCACGCCCATCCAAGCAGCGGGTGTAAGACCATGCAATTGGGTCTGTTCGTGAGATGGCCGAGGGAATCGCAGAGTGTTAGATCGAGACAACGACGGGCCATCCCGCGGTAACCTTAAACGCAGGACAGGCGGTCAGAATACAACGATCAACGAGACAATTTGTATTATCAGTTCGCCATTCGGGTTCCGAAAAAGAGCTACGAGTCGCGATGGGGGCGAGAAAGGCGGAAGAGGTCGGCGATGAGGGATGCTTGAGTTGCCCAGTCAAAACCCAGTCGCCCTGAATTTTGACGACGAAAAATCGGACAAGGAAATGGGGGCAGTGAGTTCAATGACGTCGAAGGCGTGCTTGCGGGAGACGAGGCTCGAGTACCCGAGGAAATCGCGCGCGACTTGAGGCCGCGCAAAGAGGACGCCGAGCAACGCGGCAGCACTCATCTACCATGCCGGAGTTGGCGCCCCCACAGCGTTACAAGGACAGCACGAAGAAAACGCGCAAACGGACGATGGAATCATTGAGGCAAGTTGCATTTGTGATCTCAATCGACTGCACTGTAGTCATGCGTTGCCGTGATGCAAAGTTAACCCAGAGCCGCGCCCTGCATGGGAAGGGAATGGACCTTTATTCGATCAAGGCTCTTCGGGACACGTCTATGTCCACCGGTCAAACCAGAGTAATCTTCAGAAGCGGGGGTGAGTCATCCATCGCCGCGCCCACGGAGGCCATGACAATTTCGCACCGCAATGCCCCTATCAGTCCGCAGTGTAGAGGGGGGGGGGCTAGATCATTCTGCGGTGCACACCATAGGTTCGGGACATTGGGCGGACCTTGGAGGGAGGAGGAACGGGAGGAGGAGGAAGAGGAGGAGGAGAAAAAGGAGGAGGAGGAAAAGGAGGACGGGGCGGAGGAAGAGGCGGGGGAGGAGGAGGGGAGGGAAGGGGAGGGGAAAGGCTTCTTGTATGGGTTGACTGCTTGGCTTCGGCCTCGCTTTCGAGCGTGGCAAAGCCACAGCAAGGAAACGGGGCGGACACGCGCGGAGGCAGGTGCGTGCCGCCACGCGGGCGGCAGGGGGCGCGCAGGGCACGGGGGCAGAACCGCGCGAGCGTCAGGGGCGTCCTCCGGATGAGGAGGGCGGATAGCGTCAGGGGCGTCCTCCTGAGCGTCAGGGGCGTGTCAGGGGCGTCCTCCTGAGCGTCAGGGGCGTGTCAGGGGCGTCCTCCTGAGCGTCAGGGGCGTCCTCCTGAGCGTCAGGGGCGTCCTCCTGAGCGTCAGGGGCGTGTCAGGGGCGTCCTCCTGAGCGTCAGGGGCGTCCTCCTGAGCGTCAGGGGCGTCCTCCTGAGCGTCAGGGGCGTCCTCCTGAGCGTCAGGGGCGTCCTCCTGAGCGTCAGAACCGCGCGAGCGTCAGGGGCGTCCTCCTGAGCGTCAGGGGCGTCCTCCTGATGAGAGAGAGGGAGAGGGACAGATGTGGACACCCGAAATGGGCGCGGAAAGAATGGGCACAATGCCCAGCAGCAGTTCCTGTTCATTTTGAACAGGGCTCGCTGTCCGCGCCGCCGCGGCCTGTGCCCATTCGAGAGAGAAGGCCGCCTGCCCAACAGCGGCCGCTGTTGGTTTGGGACAACACTTGCTGTTGGGCATTGTACCCATTCTTTCCGTGCCCATTTCGGGCGTCCAAAACAGAGACAGAGTCGGCCATGCGCGGAAGGGGGTATGGGGGAGGGGGGGAGACTTCGAAGAAGCACCCCTGCTTCTTGGGAGGCGGGCGCCTTGCGCCGGCGCCTCCCAAGGAGCAGATGTAGGGCCGGCGCCTCCAGAGGAGCAGCCTCCCTCAAAGAAGCCTTCCCCCTCCCGCGACCCCCTTGTGCGAGCCGCCAAGAAGAGGGCAGATAGCCAGAGCGGGACAAGGTACCCATACAGATATCATTCCCTTGTTTTCTCTGTTTGGGCCTCCGGGGAGGCCTTCGTGCAGCGGTATCGGTACCTCTTGGTTCTTCCAGCTAGCGAGGGGGAGCGAGAGAGAGAGCACACCAGTTCGGACCGGGTCAGATCCAGACCCCGCAGCGTGTCGGGGTTGCGCGGGCCTGCCTCCAGGGTGAGAGGCGCTGCAAAACAAACAGGGGTGGGGTGCTGCCCTCCCCCTTTGGCGCGGTCGAAAGGACCCCGAGTGGAAAGCAAAGCGGGCATGTGGCGAGTGGGGGAGATTCTGTCCATCACTGCCTTGGGTCTCGGAAGCCACACCCACCCCACCAGAACGGAACAACAGGCGGTGGCAGGGCCCATGAGGCAGCGGCTCCTCCGAACAGGTGTTCACGGAGTCATCGCCATAGAGCTCCCAGGAAGGCGCAATAAAGGATAGCGCCCTACATGAGCGTGCTTGTGTATTGCTTGGGGCATGACGGGCGTCATGGCCCCCGCGCCCCCCCCTATGACGTAACGCTCCCCCCCCAATGCGCTCTGGGCACTGCCGCCGTGCACATCGGGATTTGCATAGGAATCCGAATAGGAATTTGGTCCGCAGTCGTCGTCGTTGTCGTCGGCGTCGCTCGTCGCTCATCGGTAGTCGCTCGTCGCTCGTCGCTCATCGTCGTCGTGCGAGCGGACGCGGCTAGAGCCTGTTTTTTTATGCCGGCCCGATGACGGCAATCATTTGGGGGGGGTGGAGGGGGCCGATGACGTCACGTTTCGCGCCGTCGGCGTCCGGAAATGCTTAGGAATGACCGAGGACGGGTAGCAGCAGCATGCAGGTGGCAATCTGCACCACAACGCCTGTGTACACCACACCGCCGATGTACACAACAGCAGCCGCGTGCGACACAGCGCCAGTGTGCCACAGTGCCTGCGAGCACCACAGCGCTGGTGTACATCACGGCGCTGGCGTACACCAGAATCAGACATGTTCAATACAGCACCAGTGTACACCACAATGCCTGCGCGCACAACAGCGCTTGTGTGCACCGCAGCAGCCGTGCGCAACAAAGCACCACTGTTAAATATATAATTGCAGAAGGAATGGAATTTTTATGACAAAATGGAGTGCTTGTGGATTCCACAGAGAGCAATTGTTTTTATCAAGGATTTGGAAAGGAATCCTCATGGAAAAAGGGGCGTCGTTGGAATCGACGAGTCCTCCCGAGTCCACCCGCATCATCCTAACTCCTCTCACTTGCGTCCAGGAGGTTCCAGCAACATTGGCCGTCCAAGACCCAAGAAGACTGATTCAATAGATCATTCCGAGATGCGCACGCTGAGATGCGCACGTGCGCTGTAGCGCCGTCCCGCACGAAAGGGTGGTGGGGTGACGGAGGAGGACGAAGAGAAGAGGAGGAGTAAGAGGAGGAGGAGAAGGAGGAGGCGGAGGTGGAGGTGGAGATGGAGGAGAAGGGAGGACGTCGCATTTCATTTTCAGCACTTCCTTGGCATATCGCTGATATGTCCGCCGCAGATCATCACCGACGTGCTCATTTTACTTGTCCTGTGTACGCAGGCGCTGTGGTGTACACCAGCGCTGCGTTGCACGCGGATGCTGTGGTGTAGAGTGGCGCCGTGGTGTGCACAGGCAATGCGGTGCACGCAAGCATTGTGGTGTACACAGGCGCTGTGTCGCACATGGTTGCTGCGGTGTACACATTCGCTGTGGTGTACACCGGCGCTGTGGTGCGCGCAAGCATTGTGGTGTACACGGCGCTGCGTTGCACATGGCTGTTGCGGTGTGCGCAGGCGCTGTGGTGTACACGCGCGTTGTGGTGCACGCGGGCGTTGTGATGTGTACAGGCGCTGTGGTGCAGTTCGACACCTACATGCTGTTCGCGTCGTCGTCGCTCGTCGCTCGTCGCTCGTCGCTCGTCGCTCATCGTCGTTGTGCGCGCTGGCGCGGATGTGGTGCCAGAGTCACTCTGCGGGGGGGGCGTTACGTCATTCCCCCCCCCGCCCCCCCCCACGCCCGTCATCGCCGAAGATGAAGAAACGCACTCCATTCTCTTGGGCATATCCACACGCGCACACGGGAGCATCAAGGCATAATGTATCATGACGTCGTTACCACATGTAAAGCCACATCGAGTTCAATGCATTGCCGAGTTCCACACATCAAGGGTCAACGTATTGTGTTGTTCTGGCTTGGGCGCAGTACACAATTGGCAGGTGTTGGACTCTTGCACGTGGGGATTATATAGTTGGACATGTCGAAGCCACGTAAAGAATGGCAGGGAGGAGATCAGGATGAGGAGGAGGATGAGAGGGGAGGGATAGCCCGTGGAGAAAGTAGCCTAGTTCTAACGAGGCAGACTTGGGGAGGAGGCAATCGCGCGCCATTGCGCTTGATTAGAACCTCCGCGCGGGAAGCGCGCTCGGTTCAATAATGTATTGATGGGCAGGATGGATGAACAGATGCATAAGCATATTTTTGGATAGGTTGACGGGTACATATGTAAAATGACTTGCGTGGTATCGTCATTCGATGCTGATGGTTTTGGAGAACCGAACAACTGTGGCAGGATAAACACAAATGTGGCAACGGCCTTGGGGCCCCGAAGGGGGGCGATCTATTGATTTCTCGCCCATAGGTGCAGCTCTGAGGTAGCTAGAATGGCCCCGTGGTGTCTGCGCGCTGTACAACCCAGACGGGTCGCAGCCCAAAATACACGTCATTTCGAACATGTGTTTCCCATGGCCTCTGCAAAGGGGGATGCCTAGCTCCTTTTCAGCACAGAGACGCGACAGTGTTGTTCGACGCCGCTGCCTACGCCCACACCAGCAGTCGTGTGCTGCGCCCAGGTGCTGAGCGCCGTGGAGACGAAGGTGCCAGGCTACCTGGACAAGACCGAGCCCCCCTCCCCGCCTCCCGGCCGCGGGGGGGGCAAAAGATGTCGACGGTATCGCATGCACAGCCATCGACGAATCGCACACGGGCTCGATCGACGGCATGGTCGCTGCCTGCGGTCGCCCCGATCCAGCCGATGGTTTCCCAGATGCATCGGCGTCCCTCCGTATGCCTTCAGTCCTTCGGCCGGCGTGATGCTGTCGACAGGATTCGGTTCAGGGGGCAGTGGGGGAGAACGCGGCAGGTGTGATGATGGAGGCTTTTGTCCAGGTGCGCGGGAGAGGCGAAGTGCCAGGAGGAGAAGCAAGTGCCATCGCCATCCCCGCACGCATTCTCCCAGTGCCCCTCCTCCACGCTCTCCTCCCGTGCCCCTTCCCCGTGCGTCGGCCACCTCCTCCTCCTCCTCCTCGTCCTCCTCCTCCTCCTCCTCCTCCTCCTCCTCCTCCTCCTCCTCCTCCCTCCTCCTCCCCCTCCCCCTCCCCCTCCTCCTCCCCCCTCCCCCCTCCCCCCTCCCCCCCTCCTCCTCCTCCCCTCCTCCTCCTCCTCCTCCTCCCTCCTCCTCCTCCTCCTCCGCCTCCTCCTCCTCCTCCTCCTCCTCCTCCTCCTCCTCCTCCTCCATTGGGAATCATCCATTTGGTTCAGGCCATCGGCCAACGGCGAGATGCTCAGAGGCCCCAGATCCATAGGATCACAAAACGACGAAGGAGGATGATGTACTCACTGTCATTTGTTTTAATGAATGAAGACGGTCGCCCGTCACGCGTTTCAAACGCTGTTAGCGTTGAGCCCCCCCCAGCTGTTGCGCGCGGTCTGTCACGGGGGTGGGCGAGGACCAACACTCGAATTTTCATGAGCAACCCTTGTGCATCGTTTCTGGATTTGGTGATGGGGACGCGGGAAACGTGCAAGCTATGGAAGATGGATCCAGCCGCGAAGGACCCCAAACATATTGAGGAGCCAAAGTAAGACTCCGAATGCGACCGTGACGGATACCAAAAAGAACAGACAACAAAAGCAAAAACAACTCGACGACAAAAACAGAGGACCGACAAAAAAGGCCGACGACACAAACAAGAGGCCCAAGACACATTCAGAGGACGAAAAACACTTGCCAACGACAAACAAAAAGGCGGACGAACAATTCCGATGTCGTCGCGGAGCCGCGACAAAATCCGAAACGGCAACGACAAAAAAATATATTGGAAGACGTGCAACAACAAACACGGAAGCGCCATTCGCATTGTAATTGCATATGGGATGTTGACCACGCGACATTTGTCACGCGGGTTGGTCGAGCGATTTGCGGTCGCGCGCTTCGCGCACCGGGAAGGCTCGCGCCCACGCTGGGATTCTGCGCGCGCGGATGCTTTCGCGCGCCCGCATGGCTCGCGGCGGGAGTGGCGCGCGTTGGAGATGCACGCGCGCACCGATGCCATCGCGCGCGCCTCCGCCCCGGGCGAAGCGGGAGGCGCGCGTGCCAGCGGCGCGAGACGAGCCCAGCGCGCGCCGCTGGCACGCGGGCGCGGGGGATGACGCGCGCGCGCAACAAAGTAGTGACCCACCCAAAACAGCGCATAGTCCGTCCGCGTTGCACACGGCGCGAGACCAGAGTCAACGCATGAGCCATGATTCGGGGCGGGCGGTGGTGTCAGAGCTGAATTCGCATATCGCTCAACGCAGGCCGGCACGCTCTAGTTGAGAATGTTGGAAATAAGCTTGATTTGTTTGACAAGCGATTTGTCGGGGGATCCTGTCCTACAGGTTATGAGGAGAGGAGGAACGCACAATAGGCAGTGGGCAGCGAGCACGCCGCGAGGAGGAGGAGGAGGCAGGAGGGAACCGGGATAGGAAATGAAGGAATGAAGGGGAGAGAGAGGAGGGAGGAGGGAGGGGGGGGAGGAAGGGAGGGAGGATGGAGGGGGGAGGGAGGGAGAGGGAGGAGGGAGGGAGGAAGGAGGGAGTGAGGGAGGGTGGACGGGGGAGCGGTGGGAGAGGCAGGAGGAACGAGGAGGGGAGGGGCAGCGCAGCGCCCCTGCGTCGACAGCGCCCGCCAGGATCAAGGACGACGTTGTCAACAGGGACAGGGGCAAAGACAGCACCGGCACCTGGGGCACGGACACGATGGTCTTCCAGGAGCGCCCAGCTCGCCACGGGGGAGACGGGTCCTGAGGGGAACGGGTCCTGGGTTTTTTCGCCGTGTTCGGGCTCGCGGGACCCTCCACGGGGAATGACCCGGGGTCCAAGACCCGTTTCCCGCAGGACCTGTTTCCCCCATGCTGAGGCCCGCCCAGCGGGCAGGAGCAGCAGGAGGACAAGCAGGATGAGCAGGATGTCGACCTGCATCGGATTTGAACAGGCGCGTCGCGCGCGTTCCCTCTGCGGCCTCACGTCTGGGGGCTCTTGTCTGCCGCGGGCGCCAGCGGCACGTCCCGGGCCGTGGCCTGGCACTTCGGCGGGCTTGCCCGCAGCGCTGACATTCGTGACGCGTCGTGTAGTCCGGTCAGCCTGCCCCACTGGCGGTAGGTCCTGATTCCGGGCTCGGCCGCTGTGCTTTTAGGCTCGCGCGTCGCTAATTAGATCGGCCCGTGGCCAGGACCTTTCAACTCGGCGCCTGCGCTTCCGCTTGCGCCCGCGAGAAAAAGTAGTCCGGTCAGCTGTGTCCGGGATGAGTTGCCGGCCTCCGCGTTGTGTCTTACGGGCCCTCTGGGTACCGTCTTCGGGGCCCCCTTGAGGTGCTCTGCGCGGCTCTTGGGCGCCTGTTGAGGGTCTGGAGGACGTCTTGAGCGCGCCGGTTCTCTTGAAGTATGTCGACAAGGCTCGGTAGAACCATTAGAATCGCTTCGCTCATTCCGCCGGCCCGTATTATGCCATCGTTTGCGGTTGGGTGATCGGGACGTAGTTGAAATATGCAGTTGTCTTCGGCGTATCCCGCCAGGTTGGCCTCTGTATGACCTCTGGGATGCAGGTTTGAAGCTTCAAGAAGCGTCTGGGAGGTACTTTCTTCGGAACCTCTGGGAGCCTTTTGGGGCCCTCTGGAGGCCTCTTGGAACAAGTGTTCTTAGTTCCTTGGAGCGTCTTGAGGCGTCTCTGGGGCTTCTTCGAAGCCTCCTGGGGGCTTCTTTTGGGCCTTTGGTGGCCTCTTGAGGGCCTCTTGGAGGCCTTTGGCGGCGTCTTGGGTGCCTCTGTTGCCTCTTTCGGGCTCTTGGGGGGCTCTTGGGGCGGGAGGCGGAGGTAGTTGATTGCGGCTCCTCCCTCCGAGGCCACGATCCTCGTGAGGGGTGTCGAAAAATGGCCCTCCCCTGGACCGACCTCCCCCCCCCCCCCCCAAACCGAAGAGAACGTGTAGGGGGAGGGGAGGACCGAGCAGGGGGGAAGAGGAGCGAGCGAGAGGGCACTTGTAGAAGCGGGTGCAACCCTGCCCGCGACCCCCTGTGCATGGCGGAGGTCGGTGCAGGTAGGGCCCGAGCGTCGATTGGCGCCTGCGACCCCCTTTCAGCAAGGACATCACAGCTAGGCCACCAGATTTTGTAAAGCAATGCAGAGCCCAGAACGAGCGTAGCACCGAACTGGCCCGAGAGCTCGATCGATCGATCGAGTTCAAGAAACTCCGATCTGTATGCATCGGCCGTTCGGCAGGCAGTGCCCAGGGGTACTGGTCGAGGGCCCGGGGGGTGCTCCACCCCAAGATCCCAGACGCCGGGGGGTCACCCTCCTACCTGTCCTTCTCCTCCTCCTCTTCCTCCTCCTCCCTTCTTTCTCTACATCCTCCTCTGCTTCCCCGGGGTGGAGCCTATCCCCATCAAAGACTGGTAGTCTCCTGTGGTTGCAGGGAGTTCACCTCCCACTTGGTCCCCCCCTTCGCCCTCCCAGGACGACGAGCTGTCCTATGCGCTCGGCAAGCAGGCGAGCTGGCCTCATGAGCAGCGTGCCGCGCCCCAGCAAGGGGGGGAGGAGGAGCAGGAGCAGGAGTAACACGAGCAGGAGGGGAAGGAGGATCTGGGGGGGAGGAGGAGGAGGAGGAGGAGGAGGAGGAGGAGGAGGAGGAGGAGGAGGAGGAGGAGGAGGAGGAGGAGGAGCTGCCTTCTGGAGGACAGCGATAATCGTGCACCGCGCAGGCGGTGGTGTACGACTTGAGCAGGGACGGCGCTGCGCTTCGGCGACGCGCCACCAGGAGGAGCAGGAGGGGGAGGAGGGACGAGGTGGAGGTCGGGGGAAACGTTGGGAAGGATAGGCTGAGGGGAGATGCGTCGACCCTCAATCGCCCACTGGTCGCCAATAGGGGCCCGATAGCCCACTCTGCCCAGGACGGTGCGTACTGGTCCTGGGACCTGTTGGTGATCTGTCAATACATCTGCGATGCATTGCGGCCATCCTCCCTCCTCCCCCTCCTCTCTCCTCCTCCTCCGTTCCTCTTCCGATCCTCCGAGCTGCTCCAAGATTCCCGGTTGAACTCTTGGAACGGTTGTCTAAAGCAGTTGGTCTTGCAGTCTCTTTGCTTTTTGCTGAGGGCAGGTGGGTCAGCAAGCAGGTTGGTGCCAGGTGCCAGCCCTGGTCTGGATGCGTACGCTCTCCGCGCGAGTATTACTTGCGCTCTGCTCTCAATGCCTGTCGCAGATCGTGCTCGTGCGGATAGCGGGATGTGCGTCCGTTAGCAGGAATTGTCTTGCAGTCTCGGTGCTCGGAGGGCAGGTGGGTCAGCGAACAGGTTTGTCCCAGATGGCAGCCTTGTTCTGGACTCGTGCGCCCCCCGCGCGAGTATCACCTGCGCTTGGCTCACAATGCTGGTCGCAGGTCGTCTTCGTGCGGATAGCGGAACGTGTGTCCTGTCTGAAGAGCCTTCTTGCAGTCTCGTTGTTCTGAGGGCAGGTGGGTCAGCGAACAAGTGTGCACTCGATTGTATTCGAGGTATACGAGCATGAAGAGTTCCCTGCACGGATATTACCTGTTTTTGGTTCATGTTGCTTGTCGCAGGCCGCCTTCGTTCGGGTAGCGAGTTGTGCGTCCTTTCGGAAGAGCCTTCTTGCAGTCTCGTTGCTTTGAGTGCAGGTGGGTCAGCGAACAGGTTTGTCCCTGGTTGCAGCCTTGTTCTGGACTCTTGCGCTCTCCGCGCGAGTATTACTTGCGCTCGGTTCACAGTGCTGGTCGCAGGGCGTGCTCGTGCGGATAGCGGAATGTGCGTCCGTTAGCAGGAGCCTTCTTGCAGTCTCGTTGCTCTGAGGGCAGGTGGGTCAGCGAACAGGCTGGTCCCAGGTGGCAGCCTTGTTCTGGACTCTTGCGCTCCCCGCGCGAGTATCACCTGCGCCTGGCTCACAGTGCTGGTCGCAGGTCGTCTTCGTGCGGATAGCGGAACGTGTGTCGTGTCTGAAGAGCTTTCTTGCAGTCTCGTTGTTCTGAGGGCAGGTGGGTCAGCGAACACGTGTGCACTCGATTGTGTCCGCGGTATGAGCATGAAGTCTTCCCTGCACGGGTATCACGTGTGTTTGGCTCATGTTGCTTGTCGCAGGTCCCTGTTGTTCGGGTAGCGAGTTGTGCGTCCTTTTCGGACGAGCCTTCTTGCAGTCTGGTTGCGTTGAGGGCAGTTGGGTTAGCGAACGGGTTTGTGTCAGGTGGCAGCCCTGGTCTGGATGCGTACGCTCTCCGCGCGAGAAGTACTTGCGCTCGGTTCACAGTGCTGGTCGCAGAGCGTGCTCGTGCGGATAGCGGAATGTGCGTCCGTTAGCAGGAGCCTTCTTGCAGTCTCGTTGCTCTGAGGGCAGGTGGGTCAGCGAACAGTGTTGTCCCAAGTGGCAGCCTTGTTCTGGACTCTTGCGCTCCCCGCGCGAGTATCACCTGTGCTTGGCTCACAATGCTGGTCGCAGGTCGTCTTCGTGCGGATAGCGGAACGTGTGTCCTGTCGGAAGAGCCTTCTTGCAGTCTCGTTGTTCTGAGGGCAGGTGGGTCAGCGAACACGTGTGCATTCGATTGTGTCCGCGGTATGAGCATGAAGTCTTCCCTGCACGGGTATCACGTGTGTTTGGCTCATGTTGCTTGTCGCAGGTCGCCGGTGTTCGGGTAGCGAGTTGTGCGTCCTTTTCGGACGAGCCTTCTTGCAGTCTGGTTGCGTTGAGGGCAGTTGGGTTAGCGAACGGGTTTGTGTCAGGTGGCAGCCCTGGTTTGGATGCGTACGCTCTCCGCGCGAGTATTACTGACGCTCGGTTCACAGTGCTGGTCACAGGGCGTGCTCGTGCGGATAGCGGAATGTGCGTCCGTTAGCAGGAGCCTTCTTGCAGTCTCGTTGCTCTGAGGGCAGGTGGGTCAGCGAACAGGTTGGTCCCAAGTGGCAGACTTGTTCTGGACTCTTGCGCTCCCCGCTCGAGTATCACCTGCGCTTGGCTCGCAATGCTGGTCGCAGGTCGTCTTCGTGCGGATAGCGGAACGTGCGTCCTGTCGGAAGAGCCTTCTTGCAGTCTCGTTGTTCTGAAGGCAGGTGGGTCAGCGAACAAGTGTGCATTCGATTGTGTCCGCGGTATGAGCATGAAGTCTTCCCTGAACGTGTATTACCTGTTCTTGGCTCATGCTACAGACTCATTCATGTTGCCGCTCGCAGGCCGCCTTCGTTCTGGTAGCGAGTTGTGCGTCCTTTCGGAATAGCCTTCTTGCAGTCTCTTTGCTTTGAGGGCAGGTGGGTCAGCGAACAGGTTTGTCCCAGGTGGCAGCCTTGTTCTGGACTCTTGCGCTCCCCGCGCGAGTATCACCTGCGCTTGGCTCACAATGCTGGTCGCAGGCCGCCTTTGTTCGGGTAGCGAGGTGTGCGTCCTTTCGGAAGAGCCTTCTTGCAGTCTCGTTGCTTTGAGGGCAGGTGGGTCAGCGAACAGGTTTGTCCCAGGTGGCAGCCGTGTTCTGGACTCTTGCGCTCTCCGCGCGAGTATTACTTGCGCTCGGTTCACAGTGCTGGTCGCAGGGCGTGCTCGTGCGGATAGCGGGATGTGCGTCCGTTAGCAGGAGCCTGCTTGCAGTCTCGTTGCTCTGAGGGCAGGTGGGTCAGCGAACAGGTTTGTCCCAGGTGGCAGCCTTGTTCTGGACTCGTGCGCTCCCCGCGCGAGTATCACCTGCGCTTGGCTCACAGTGCTGGTCGAAGGTCGTCTTCGTGCGGATAGCGGAACGTGTGTCGTGTCTGAAGAGCTTTCTTGCAGTCTCGTTGTTCTGAGGGCAGGTGGGTCAGCGAACACGTGTGCATTCGATTGTGTCCGCGGTATGAGCATGAAGTCTTCCCTGCACGGGTATCACGTGTGTTTGGCTCATGTTGCTTGTCGCAGGTCGCCGGTGTTCGGGTAGCGAGTTGTGCGTCCTTTTCGGACGAGCCTTCTTGCAGTCTGGTTGCGTTGAGGGCAGTTGGGTTAGCGAACGGGTTTGTGTCAGGTGGCAGCCCTGGTTTGGATGCGTACGCTCTCCGCGCGAGTATTACTGACGCTCGGTTCACAGTGCTGGTCACAGGGCGTGCTCGTGCGGATAGCGGGATGTGCGTCCGTTAGCAGGAGCCTTCTTGCAGTCTCGTTGCTCTGAGGGCAGGTGGGTCAGCGAACAGGTTGGTCCCAAGTGGCAGACTTGTTCTGGACTCTTGCGCTCCCCGCTCGAGTATCACCTGCGCTTGGCTCGCAATGCTGGTCGCAGGTCGTCTTCGTGCGGATAGCGGAACGTGCGTCCTGTCGGAAGAGCCTTCTTGCAGTCTCGTTGTTCTGAAGGCAGGTGGGTCAGCGAACAAGTGTGCATTCGATTGTGTCCGCGGTATGAGCATGAAGTCTTCCCTGAACGTGTATTACCTGTTCTTGGCTCATGCTACAGACTCATTCATGTTGCCGCTCGCAGGCCGCCTTCGTTCTGGTAGCGAGTTGTGCGTCCTTTCGGAATAGCCTTCTTGCAGTCTCTTTGCTTTGAGGGCAGGTGGGTCAGCGAACAGGTTTGTCCCAGGTGGCAGCCTTGTTCTGGACTCTTGCGCTCCCCGCGCGAGTATCACCTGCGCCTGGCTCACAATGCTGGTCGCAGGCCGCCTTTGTTCGGGTAGCGAGGTGTGCGTCCTTTCGGAAGAGCCTTCTTGCAGTCTCGTTGCTTTGAGTGCAGGTGGGTCAGCGAACAGGTTTGTCCCTGGTTGCAGCCTTGTTCTGGACTCTTGCGCTCCCCGCGCGAGTATCACCTGCGCTTGGCTCACAGTGCTGGTCGCAGGTCGTCTTCGTGCGGATAGCGGAACGTGTGTCCTGTCTGAGGAGCCTTCTTGCAGTCTCGTTGTTCTGAGGGCAGGTGGGTCAGCGAACAAGTGTGCACTCGATTGTGTCCGCGGTATGAGCATGAAGTCTGCCTTGCACGTGTATTACCTGTTCTTGGCTCATGTTGCTTGTCGCAGGCCGCCTTCGTTCTGGTAGCGAGTTGTGCGTCCGTTCGGAAGAGCCTTCTTGCAGTCCGTTGCTCTGAGGGCAGGTGGGTCAGCGAACAGGTTTGTCCCAGGTGGCAGCCTTGTTCTGGACTCTTGCGCTCCCCGCGCGAGTATCACCTGCGCTTGGATCACAATGCTGGTCGCAGGTCGTCTTTGTGCGAATAGCGGAACGTGTGTCCTGTCTGAAGAGCCCTCTTGCAGTCTCGTTGTTCTGAAGGCAGGTGGGTCAGCGAACAAGTGTGCACTCGATTGTGTCCGCGGTATGAGCATGAAGTCTTTCTTGCAGTGTATTATTTGTTATCTCATGTTGCTTGTCGCAGGCCGCCTTTGTTCGGGTAGCGAGTTGTGCGTCCTTTCGGAAGAGCCTGTTTGCAGTCTCTTTGCTTTGAGGGCAAATGGGTCAGCGAACAGGTTTGTGCTCTCCGCGCGAGTATTACTTGCGCCCGGTTCACGGTGCTGGTCGCAGGGCGTGTTCGTGCGGTCTGGGTGGTCTCTT